ATACCAACATGGGCCAGTGAAGCAACGTCCTCCACAACTAGACTGAAGAACAAAAGGACAGCAACTTGTCTGGTCCCCTTCCCCGATTCCCCAATAAAATCTTTTAAAAAAAAAGTTTTTCCAGAGCCACCAGCCAGGAGGCAGCAGGGAAGGTGGCGCTTGGCAGCTCTGGGTGACCCAGCCCGGCCGGCTCCGCGTGGGAGCTGCGCCTTCCTGGAGTCCAGGCCGAAGCCAGCCTCAGCCCTGGTTTGTGGGGGCACCTCCCGTCGCCTCAGCCTCTGCTGCCCTCACCCCGTCCGTCCGTCGATCCTGGGGCAACTCCAGGGCCACTCTTGTTCTGTGTGAGGCCCCGGGGCCTAGGTCTCATCTGTCACACAAGACAGCCACAGACTTTCTCAAAACCGAGTGACTGGCTCTGGGCCCAGCTGCCATTTCTGCGCTCCCTCCTACCCTTCTGGGCCTCTGACTTCTGGGAGGCACTCGGCTGCACTCCAGGCCTGGGGGAACTGGGGGCAGGGGATCCCCGGGCGGCTCAGATGTTTCCACCAGCTGCCAGCAGTTAACGGTGGGATGACAGCAGTGGTGGGTGACAGCAGTGCTGTGCACCCCACAACGGAGTGGTCCTTAGCAGCAGGAAGCTGACAACACAGGGATCCCGAAAGCATGACGGAGGGCGGGCGGGCGACTGGTTTCTGTGACCTAGAACCTGCTCAGCACCTGCCTGGGGGGCGGGGCATCATCTGGGAAAAGGAAGTGGTTACAGGGCGTGTCTGTCAAACTCCTGGAGCTGCCTCAAGTGGGCACATGTGGTTTATGTATGTGAATTAAACCTTGGAGGTGATGTTTTAAAAGCCCCTCAGTTGAGGTGATTCCACTTAAAACTGGTTTTCCCCTTGAGGGGGTCAGGAGTTACGGCCACCCAGGCCTGGCAGGGGTCCTCTGGCCACACCTGCCACGGGCTGACAGCTCAGCAGCTGGCTGGGCCACGCATTCTCTTATCTGCAGGGCCCACCCCACGCTGGCCCACGGTCCCCCTCCAGCGGCCCAGCAATTCCCCTCGAGGCCCAAGGGCTCGCCAAAGTCCCAGGTTGTCACAGCCAAGCCTCATCAGCCCGCTGGCCGGTTCCCAAGTGTGCCTGGGGAGGCTCCGCCAGTTCTTACCCAGAGGTGGGAGGCTGGAGCCCTTGGCCTCAGCTGGGCCTGCCTTGCTGCCGCTGCCTCCGACCTGCCCTGGTGGGTCCCTCTGCTCAGAATGTGTCTCCTTCACCCGGGAGTGTGGGGCGGGCTGCAGAGGAGGCGCAGGGCAGGCAGCAGGACAAGTGCCCTCCCTGCCCCGGTCACTTGCAGCTGCACAAAACCCCTGGTTAAAGAAGGGGCTGCGATGGGGCTGGAGCCGTCAGGTCGCTGCCCCAGCCAGGGCCGCCCTCCGCTCCCCGCCGGCCAGCCACCCAGCTTGGCCACACCTGGACTTCGGCCTTGAAGCCCTTCCAAGCAGAATGACTTCCTCTGGAGGCAGACGTGTTCTCCCGCCCCAATTCAGGGAGCTTAGCCATGTGGGGTGGGGGGAACTGCGGGGCCCCACCCAGGAGACCGAGCAGACAGCGGCCCCTCACAGCGGGGGCCCTGGACACCTCAGGCTGGCCCTGGCTGAACTCGGTGTGGTTCTCCAGGCCCCTTGTCCCTTGTCCGCCTGGAGTCCCCGATCTCAGCCCTGTGCCACAAGGGCGAGGCCCAGACAGACACCGGAGGCTAAGTCACCTTGGTGTACTGGGCGGAGCTCCGCCCACCGCAGGTGTCACCACTGTGCCAGTCACTGGCCCCCCTGCCCCGCTGACTCAGCACACCGCGGGCGGCGGCCGGATGGTTCCATTTCCTTGACAACCTAACAGGCCTGGCCGGCTTGGCACGGCCGGCTCCAGGCCTCACGGGGTCTGTGGCCCAGGAGAAGCCAGGCAGAGCCCGCGGGCACCCCTCCACGGCTCCTCCGCTCGTGCTGCGGGCTCTCCCCAGGGCCTTCCCAGAGTCAGAACCTCCCTGGGTCTCCGATTCTGCACCAGACGTGTGGAGAGACCCGTGACTGCGCGGCCCAGGGGATTCCAGACAGGAAGCCCCCTGG